TTAGTTTGTTAATAGTTTAGTTAATTTGTTCACTGTTAGAGTTAGATAAATAAATTGTTACTTGTTGATTTTAAAGCAAGTATCAAGGATTTATTTTATTTAACCACTAGAAGTTGCTGAAAAGCAGGTTACATACTTTTCACCCTCCTTTTACAGATTATGTGGTGAGGTGTTCCTCTTTGGGTGCTTCGGTTTTAGTTCTCAGAGGTTTGGCGGGGTGGGTGCGGAGGTCAACCTTCACTTTATACCACCATTTCATTTATTGATGGGAATTCAATCTAGAGAAACAAAATCATATCTTTAAAGGGGAAGAAATGCTAAAGCTACGAGGTTGTACAAATACATTAAGGACAAAAGAGTAATGAGGAAGAGAATAGGACATATTGAAGCTCAGCAAGGCCACCAATGTGTGGAACCGCAGGAGATGGGGGAGATATTACATGAATATTTTGCATCAGTGTTTACTATGGAGAATGATATGGAATGTAGGGAATGTAGGGAAATAAATAGCAGACCCAGGTTCGATTCCAGCCTCAGGCGACTGTCTGTGTGGAATTTGCACATTCTTCCCGTGTCAGTGTGGGTTTTCTCCGGGTGCTCTGGTTCCCTCCCACAGTCCAAAAACACGCAGGGTAGGTGGATTGGCCATGCTAAATTGCCCATAGTGCCCAGAAGTGTTTAGGTTAGGTGGGTTAGACATGGGAAATGCAGAGGTAGGGGAATGGGTCTGTGTGGGATACTCTTTGGAGGAGCGGTGTGGACTTGTTGGGCTGAATGGCCGGTTTCCACACTGTAGGGATTCTTAAAAAAAAAATTTTGGAAAAATGAGCATATTACAGAGGTGGTGATGCTGGACATCTTAAAAAGCATATAGGTGGATAAATCCCTGGGACCTGATCAGGTGTACCCTAGAACTTTGTGGGAAGCTAAGGAAGTGATTGCTGGGTCCTTTGCTGAGATATTTGTATCAAAGATAGCCAAAGCTAAGGTGCTGGAAGACGGGAGGTTGGCTAACATGGTGCCACTATTTAAGAAAGGTGGTAAGGAAAAGCCAGGGAACTATAGACCAGTGAGCCTGGCATCAGTGGTGGGCAAGTTGTTGGAGGGAATCCTGAGGGACAGGATTTACATGCATTTGGAAAGACAAAGACTGATTGGGGATAGTCAACATGGCTTTGTGAATGGGGAATTGTGTCTAACTTAAGAGATTTTTGAAGTAGTAATGAAAAGGAATGATGAAGGCAGTGGGGTGGATGTGATCTATATGGACTTCAGTAGGGCATTCAACAAGTTTCCACATGGTAGACTGGTTAGCAAGGTTGGATCATATGGAATACAGGGAGAACTAGCCAGTTGGATACAGAACTGGCTTGAAGATAGGAGACAGAGGGTGGTGGGGGAGGGTTGCTTTTCAGACTGGAGGCCGTGACCAGCCGTGTGCCACAAGGATTGGTGCTGGGTCCACTGCTTTTCATCATTTATATAGATGATTTGGATGTGAGCATAAGAGGTATGGTTACTAAGTTTGCAGATGACACCAAAATTGGTGGTGTAGTGCACATTGAAGAAGGTTACCTTAGAGTACAATGGAACCTTGATCAAATGGACCGGTGGGCCAAAGAGTGGCAGATGGAGTTTAATTTAGATAAATGTAGGTGATGTATTTTGTAAAGGCGAATCAGGGCCAGACTTATACCCTTAAATGGTAAGGTCCTGGGGAGTGTTGCTGAACAAAGAAGATCTTTGAGTGCAGATTCATTATTCCTTGAAATTGGAGTCATAGGTAAACAAGATAGTTAAAAAGGCATTTGGTATACTTGCCTTTATTGGTTAGTGCATTGAGTATAGGATTAAGAGGTCATCTTGCAGCTATACTGGACAATGATTGGGCCACTTTTGGAACACTGCATTCAATTCTGGTCTCCCTGCTATATGAAGGATGTTGTGAAACTTGAAAGGGTTCAGAAAAGATTTACAAGGAGGTCGCCAGGGTTGAAGGGTTTGAGCTATAGGGAGAAGGTGAATGGGCTAGGGCTATCTTTCCTGGAGTGTCAGAGGCTGTGGGGTGACCTCAAAGAAGTTTATAAAGTCATGAGACGTGTAGATAGGTGAATAGCTAAGGTCTTTTCCCCAGGGTAGCTGAGTCCAAAACAAGAGGGCATAGGTTTAAGGTGAGAGAGGAAAGATTTAAAAGGGATCTAAGGGGCAACTTTTTCATGTAGAGGATGGTGCATGTATGGAATGAGCTGCCAGGGGAAGTGGTGGAAGCTGGTGCAATTACAACATTTAAAAGGCATTTGGATGGGTATATGAATAGGAAGCATTTAGACAGATATGGGCCAAATGTGACTAAATTTATTTAGGATATCTAGTTGGTATGGATGAGTTGGACCAACGGGTCTGTTTCCATGCTGTACAGTTCTATGACTCTATAATAAAGACAGAAGACAACAAAAATTCAGAAGAAAACACCAATATATATTTTTGCATTCAATTTTTAAAGAACATAAAGCTGCACAAAAGAGGCAAATCATCAACTTTCTGTCAGAAATTCAGTTCTTTAAAAGAGAGAATCAGCCTTTACATTATGGATCATTAGATAACTGACAAAAAAAATCCAATAGGCTGTCAACCACCTCACATTTTGGACATTGAAAGTTTAAGAATTAATACCTCTTGTACTTTTGACTATGATTGCAAAGATACTAACAAAATGTTTCAGGGTTTAGAAGATCAACTTACAGTTTGAATTAATTTCAGAATACATAGGCTTGAGTTTGTGTCATACCAACAAAAGCCAGGTGAAACAATCAACCACCTCATAGGCAAGTGTCAATGTAAATATACAGAATGTGGCTTCACTGAAGCAAACTTAGTTCAAATGCTAAGGAGCTGGGTATTGACTCCACGTCCATCAAATCCTTCAGGAAAAGCACTTCTGGTCAAACCTAAGGAGTACATCATTGACATTCTACTAAAAAATGCATGCAGGTGTTGAAGCATATGCAAGTGCTTGACTTTGGAGCAACTATTGTAGTAGTCTGCAGGTGCAGTGGAACATCAAAATTTTGTATGAGGTGTAGCTTGTATAATCCATTGAGAAAGTGACCAGCAGTTCAGAACATGTGTCTTTCTACAGGAGGACATTGGAGTAAAATGTATAAGAAATCCAATTACAGAGAAACCTAAAGTGCAATACAATTCTCCACAACATCACTTAAAGTGGGGCCCAAAAAGAAACAATGTCAAAGAAGTTCCACCCATGGCATGTAATTATGTCCCAAAAGGTAACTGCAATATTACATTTTACAAACCCCACTCAGATGGTGCACGTGATAAAGTTGACATACCCCATGGACTCTCAGAAAAACTTAAGCCTTAAAGTTCTAGGATCATAGAACTCTGGAGCACAGGTAAAGGCCCTTCAGCCCATTGTGCACCTGTCAAAAACAACTACTTAACCATTTTAATCCAATTTTCCAGCACTTGATCCATAGACTTTATGCCTGGTATCACAAGTGTGCATCTAAATACTTAATAAATGTTATAAGGATTTTTGCCTCTACCACCCTTACAGGTAGTGAGTTCACGATTCCCATCACCCTCTGAGTGAAAAATCATTTCTTCACATTTCTTCTAAATCTACTACCCCTTAATTAAATCTAGGCTGCCTGCTCACTGATTCCTCCATCAAGGGGAGAAGTATTTTCCTGTATACCCTATCTATGCCCATCATTATTTTATACATCTCAATCTCCTCTGTTCTTAGGAAAGCAACTCCAGTGTGTCCAATCTTTCTTCAAAACTGAAACACTCCAGCCCTGGCAGCATCCTTGTACAGAATGTGGAGCTGGAGGAGCACAGCAGGCCAGGCAGCATCAGAGGAGCAGGAAAGTTGACGTTTTGGGTCAGGACTTTTCTTCAGAAATAGGGGAGGGGGAAGGGAGCTCTGAAATAAATAGAGCAGGGGTGGGGCTGGGGAATGTAGGTGGGATGGTGATAGGTGAGTGCAGGTAGGCAGTGGTGGGGATTGGTCAGAGAGGTGTGAGGAGCCAATAAGTGGTAGAGAAGATGGACAGGTTGTGTCAGGTCAAGGAGGCGGGAATGAGAGGGAGGGTTGGTTATGGGATGAGGCCGGGGGTGGGGAGATTTTGAAACTGGTGAAGTCCACATTGAGACCATTGGGTTGTAGGCTCCCGGGTGGTGTTACCATGACACTGGTGGAGGCCCAGGATGGACATGTCACCCAGGGAGTGAGTGAGGAGTTGAAATGGTTCATGACTGGAAGGTGTTGTTTGTCGCAAACAGAGTGCAGGCACTCTACAAAGCGGTCTCTGAGCCTCCACTTGGTCTCACCAATGTAGAGGAGGCCACATCGGGAGCAGTGGATGCAATAGACCACATTGGTGGATGTGCAAGTGAACCTCTGTCTGATGTGGAAGGTTTTTTTGGTGCCTTAGATGGAGGCGAGGGAGGAGGTGTAGGGGCAGGTATAGCACTTCCTGCAGTTGCAGGGAAAGGTGCTAGGGTTGGTGGGGCTAGTGGGAATGTGGAGCGGAGAGAGTGGAGAGGGAGTTGTGGAGAGAGCAGTCCCTACGGAAGGCAGATAGGGGTGGGGAGGGAAATATATCTTTGGTTGTGGGGTCAGATCGCAGGTGGCGGAAGTGGTGGAGAATGATACTTTGAATCCAGAGGTTAGTGGGTGATACATGAGGACAAGGGGATTCTGTCTTTATCTTTTTTGCGGGGAGTAGATGTAAGGGCAGACGTGCGGGAAACACAAGAGATGCGGTCGAGAGCATTTTCGACTGCTGAAGGGGGTGAAGTTGCGGTCCTTGAAATAAGAGGATATCTGGGACGTTCGAGAGTGGAACACCCCAACTTAGAAGCATACACAGCGGAGGCGGAGGAATTGGGAGTAGGGGATCGCATTCTTGCAGGAAGATGGATGAGAGGAGGTGTGGTCTAGGTAGCTGTGGGAGTCGGTGGGTTTGAAATAGATATTGGTTTCGAGGCTGTCACCAGAGATGTAAACAGAGAAGTCCAGGAAGGAAAGGGAGGTATCAGAGATGGTCCAGGTGAATTTGAGGTCAGGGTGAAAGGTATTAGTAAAGTCGCTGAACTGTTCAAGCTCCTCATGGGAGCACGAGGCAGTGCAGATACAGTCATCGATATAGCAGAGGAAGAGGTGGGGGATAGGGCAAGTGTAGCCGTGGAAGAGGGACTGTTCCACGTATCCTATGAAGAGGCAGGCATAGCTTGGGGCCATGCAGGTTCC